CTGGCCTAGCAGCTTTCAGGGCGGAGGAAAGGCCGAGTGGCCCCGGAGACATCGCTTTGACGGGCAGGGCAATGAGTGGCGGGCTCCAGTAGCTGATGACAGACATCAGGGGCACTGCCTGCGTGACACCTCAGTCCAAGGAGGGGCCCCTTGGCCTGCCACTGACAAAGGGTCCCATGGGTGCATTGGGGTCAGACCCAGACTTGGGATTTAGACCCAAACCTGTAGCCCGAGGCTCCTTCCAGAATGTGGTGTGGCTTGGTCACTCGTGGGCACCTTTCTCCCAAGGAGTAAAGACCAGGGACTTGGGGAAGGAAAGAGGCCGCCCTGGGTCTGGACTACCCCATGCCACTGGCACAGGCAGGACCAGCTGTGGTGGCACTGGCTGACCGCAGCCCGGCCGGGCCAGGTTCTTTGCCTCTCACTGCGGCCAGCCAGAGACCTGGATACAGCTGCCAGGGTCCAGGAGCACACCCCGCCCCCCCAATGGAGGCACCTCCTTCCCAGGTGCCCCCCAGGGAGGCCCTCAAGCCCCAGGCTGGGCTTCTGGAGGGGGAGGGGGCAGAGGAGAGGGTGGTGGCATTAGCGGTGGGGGTGGGGGTGGCAGTAGTCAGGGTAGAGAGGAACTGGCAGCACTGGGGGCCCCCATTCACGGACCCATGAGGTAGATGTTATCCTTGTCCTGAGAAAAGACCGAGGTGAGGTGACAGGGCCAGGGTCGCACAGCCAGGACGTGAACCAGAATCCACTAATCGCCCGATAGCACTCGCCCCGGGGTGGGTAAAGGGTCAGGCGGTCCAGGCATCCGGCCCCTAGGGATGGGCGCCCGGCCACACTGGCCACAGGGGACTGATCAGGCCGGTTCTGCTGCAATGGAAAGAATGCGCGTTTGGGAGTCTCGGAAAGATAAGGTTCCCCACGGAGGGCGACTCCCGCAGCCTTTCTCCGGCTTTCTCCGGCAGAGCGGACGCAGAGCACAGACTGCTGCCTCTGAACTGGAGCTTTAAACCGCACCCGCGAGGAAGGCATTACCAGCCGGAGAAGTGGGGGTGGGGGTGGAATGGGGGGGGGCAGCTTGGTCCGCGGATCAAAATAAGATGACACGTCCACAGTGGGGGAGGGGTGCGGGGAGGGTCAAAGGTGAACCGGATGCGCTCCAGGCTGGGACAGGCACTAGGGCAGCCTGGGGCTGACATAACCAAAGCCAGTCAGCTTTCCATGGGCCTGCGGGGTGGGGTGGGGCGGGTGGTGGCCTGTGCAGGTCTGGAAGCGGCTCTGGCTCCAGCACCTCTGCCTGCGGGGATGGTGCTGTTGGGAGGCGACCATGGGGTTCTGAGCCACCTCAATCCCCAGGTGCTGAGATGCCAGCACTTCCGGGAGTATGAGGGCCCTTACCTCACTGTCCAGGGGGCCCCCCTCACAGAAAAGAGGCTTGGCCTGGTGGGAGAAAGAGCAGGTGGCAGTGTCCTGAGACACAAGTCCTCTCTGCTGATGATTTGGGAAGCTTCAAGCTCAATGATGTCGTCCACCAACAAAACAGAGAACAGAGGCCAGGGCTACGCTGAGCACGGGGTGGGAGGGTGGGCGGCAGCATGTAGCCAGTGCTCAATAAACATCACTGCTGTGACTAAGGAGGGAACAGGGGTGTGTGCCACCCAGCCCAGGGGCGCCGTGTCACGGGAAGGCACGAAGTCCTGCATTGCCCCATGGAGGGGCTGGAAGGCAGCGCGTGGCTGTGACCCACAGAGGTAGCACCAATAGAGCACCCCCATGGCGGAGTGGCGGCCAACGGGTCCCGGGTTCTTTTAGGGGTGATGAAAATGTGCCGGAACTAATGGTGATAGTTACAGAACTCTGAATACACTAAACATCAGAGCTGTACCCTCGCAGTGGTCCTCAACCTTCCTAATGCTGCGACCCTTTAATACAGTTCCTCATGTAGTGGTGACCCCCAACCATAAAATTATTTTCGTTGCTACTTCATGACTGTAATTTTGCTACTGTTATGAATTGTAAATATCTGATATGCGATATGTGTTTTCCGATGGTCGCAACCCACAGGTTGAGAACCGCTGCAGGGTGACTTTTATCTTAAAAAATGAACAAGTCTAATCCCTCGCCCACTGCCACGCCGACCCGAAGTCCCCTGGCTGTCCGGTTAGGGAGGAGAGCAGAGCAGGGGAGCTGGGACATGCTGCGTCCTGCATCCCTGTGCCTCGCTGCCCCCGGCTTCCAGAAGCTGCCCCCTCTCTTCCCCCACCCCCTCCAGGGAGGCACGGACTACTGAGAGCTCTTCAGGGGGGCACAGGGGCCTCCTTCCCTGCTGAGGTCGCCGCTCAGGCCGGTGGTCCTCACCCCGCTCTCCAGACACTCGGAAAGCCAGCAGCTGCAGCTTACAACCTGACCTCTCTGGCCTCGGCTTCTCCGTCTGCGCCATGGACCAACCTGGGCCGCCAGCCACTTCTGCAGATGGAGACGGCAAGGCCAGAGCACGGGTGACTCAGCGAGATAATGGGGCCGGGCATGGGGGGTGATCCAGAGAAGGTACCATAGGGCCACTAAGCGTCTCATTTCTTCACATCAAGGCCCCGACTAAGGCTGACCAGATGGAGAATTGCAAACTGAGCTCATTGCCATGGCTTTGAGCACTCCACTTTGCTCGTGGCCGCCACAGCCAGGTACAAGGTGACGAGCCCAGGCACACACACATCAGAGCATCCTGGCATCCACGTACTGCTCCAAGGTCCACAGATGCTGAGCCCCACCCAGACTTCAGCTTTCTCAGTAGAACAAGGGGAACAGCATCAGGGAACCAGCGGCAGGCACCACGCTGTGACGACAGTGAGAGCTCAGGCCAGCGTGGGTCACCTTCTACCGACACTTCCCAGGGCGTCACACAACACCCGGCTGCAGCCACAGAGCCTGACCCCCGTCAGCCGCACACTTTGTTCCCAGCCAACGAGGCCCAGCAGCCTCTGGCACGCCGGCTGCCTCCGGGGCCGCCACTCACGCCAGACGTGGGGCCAGCCTAGGGCCTTGGCGAGGAGCCAAAGAGCCATTGAGGCAGCTCCTGCTCCCTGCCTACATGTGGGCCCGCATCTGCAGGCCTCTCCACCACCTGCCTTGGCAAGGAGGGACGTGTGCCCTTTTGTTGCCACATCCTCTGCAGATGTGGGGTGTCACGCTGGGACTCAAACCCAGCGGGCCCGGAGTGGACACAGCTGCTTGCCGAAGCCCTGACACTCGGGGTGACTCAGCCCAGGCGGGACCAGCGTCCTCCCACACGCTGCTTTGAAAGCCACGCCAGCCGTTTCTTTGTCTTCTGGAACGCTCTCAGAGAAGACAGCCAAAGCAGGGAGCTGCTGGGCAAACTCTGCCCCAGGGGCTTCTCACAGGCTCTGAGGAGACTCTGAGCCTCAATTCCAGGTATGTGCGCGGCTCCCCGGGCGCCCTGCAGCCTGCCCGGCTGTCTGGTCTGGGGCCTCACTGCGTCCAGGCAGAGAGCTCAGCTTGCTGCCTCCTCTGGGCACCTGCTCTTCAGCTGGGCGGTGCACTGTGACCCTAGGCAGCCAGGCCTCTTGACACTGACGCCGTCACGTCCTGCAGCCTGTCGCTCAGAAGTGGCCATGGGGTCCCCAGGCTGGCGTGGAGGGTGAGGAGGGGTGTGCATGCAGCGGCGAGGAAGGTCTGCTGGCAGCTGCACTGCCCAAGTGGACAGAGCAGCCCTCAGTGAGTGGACGTGAAAGCAGGCTTCAGTGGTCCTCCCTCCTGGGCCAATGCCATCCTGCCCATCAATTCTAAGCTCATTCCCCCCACACATCCTCCTCCATCCCAAAACCAGGTAGTATAAGGGGCCTGGGAAAAGACGAGATCCCAGAACTGAAGAACCCCCAGCAAGCCCAGGTTAGGGCAAGTGTCTGTTCCACTGAGCTGAGGCCACAGGGCCCACAGGAACCGACACAGCTCCTTCCTGCACACGTGTTTCCTGGGTGCTCCCCAGGGCCCTGGAACTCAGATGCCAAGTCTTGGGCCTTTGGGACGAGGCAGACGACAGGCAGAGGCACCCAGAGTACCCGCTTTCTCTGCCGCAGATGTGGGCCCCCGCCTCCTAGCGGTAAGTCCAGAGGGTGTCTAAGAGGCCTGCACCAGAACCCGCATGGGCCCAGGTCTCCTGGCAGCTCGGTGAAAACCGCCCCTCCCCCCACTCGTTGAACCAGCTGCCCTTGCCCACAACCAACACGGGCCAGCAGGACGCTCATCCTGAGGAGTGCCCGAAGCCAGAGGCACCGAGAGCCTCAGGGTTCAAACAAGAAGAGGGAAGCTCAGAGGGTCAGCGTTTGCCAATGTCACGCAGCACGTCACTGCCCCAAAGACACCAGGAGCTAGGGCTCTGGACCGCTCGGGGACCCAACACTTGTCCATGCCACCGAGCCATCCCCGCTTCAGTGAGGTGGGGAGCTGCCCCAGAAACCCTGTTCCAGGATCATTCAAGTTTCCAGAGCCTGTTCCCTGACACACTGGGATGGGTATCAGAGCCTGGAGCCACATGGCTCTCTAGGGACAGGTGACCTGGGGAGTGGGCTCCCAGGGGCCCCAGGGAGGCGGGTCAGGGCTCAGCACTCCGGAGGCCACTCAGGGATCCGGTGGCCCAGCAGGTCCACCTTCCACAGCCGGGTGCACATCCCACCACCGACCCCCCCATGGTGGCTCCTGGACCCAAGAAAGTACAGAGGCAGGACAGAGCGAAAGCAGAAGCCAAGCAGAGGTGCCCATGGCTGCGTGGGCGCGCTGGCCGGGCAGGGGTCCGGGAGGGCCTGCAGCTCACGGTGCTGCTCCCACCAGACAGAACCAGCACAAGAAAACCAAGCGGGGACTGGAGCCCTGGCTCCTGCTTGTGGGACCAGCTGCTTCCTGGGGCGCCCCAGGGGCGGAGCGGCCTGGCAGGAAGGCACGGGGGCTCCTCTCCCTCCCTCGGTCGTGGCCTGGCGTGCGCCTCTTACCTCTGGGCTCCTCTGCCTGTTTGGCGAGCTTGCGCAGCGCAGCGGCAAAGCTGGAAGACGGCGCGGCCTGGGCCGACAGCGCACTGCTGGTGGCGGGGCTGCCGCTGGGCACCAGGGCGCCATTGAGCGGCGAGGGGGTGAGGGGGTTGACGGTGGCGGTGGTCCTGGTCGTGGTGGAAAGCATTCCTAGTGAAGGGGACTTGGGCTCATGGCTCATGCCTGAAACAGGAAGAGAAGAACCAGAGGTCACCCAGAGAGCAGGAGGCCAGCACCAGAGCGGGGTCCGGGGCTCAGGGGTCTGGCCAGCAGGGGCATGCAGGGAGCAGGAGCAGCCTGGGTGGCCCCAGAGGATAGGCAGGCAGAGCAGACAGAGCCAGTGCTGCAGAGAGAATGGGCTGTGAGTCCAGCCAGTGGCCCTGAGGGCCCAGGGACACCCCCACCCGCCTGGATCCATAATGAAAGAACAAGGTATGTGCTCAGGACCCCAATGGCTCGACCTGCACATCCTACAACCTTGCCAGGGCCACTGGGGAAGCCTGGGAGAATGCAACAGCCTCAGAAATCATCCCAGACCAGGCCTGGGGGAGGGAGACTGAGGCAAGGGGAAGGGCCAGCCAGATTAACAGTGATAACGAGGACAAGCAGGCCAGCAACTCACAGTTAACCTTTCTGACAGGCCTCTGGCACAACTGGTGAGGCCGGCACTGCTACCGTCCCCGTTTTAGAAAAATGGAAACAGGCTCAGACAGTGCAGACCTGGTATCTGACTGAGCATGGGGGCCCCATAGAGGCAGGCCCCCAAGACCAGTGCACCTACTTCCCCTGAACACACATCCCGGAGAGCCAGGCCATGCTGGTGCCCTCGGTCCCCTTCTGGGCAGGGAAAGATCTTGGGGGCACGGGCCAGTGCACGGAGGTGGCAGGTGGCTGGAGGCCTTGTTTGTCGCCACCATGCCCTCCTGAGTCCTGAAGTCACCCAGGGATCCTGCATGGTCTCCAGCTGAGGAGGTGCCTGTGAGAGCAGCCTGCGGAGGATGGGCCGCGTCAGCGGTGGAGGGAGAAGTGGGGGACAGAGCACAGCGAACAGACCCCGCCGTGTTCCCTCACCGGGCGCAGACCCCGCCTGGAGAAGCTCAAGATTCAGAACTGCAGATCTAACAGTCATCGGCGGGGAAACCCCCTCCCCACAGGGGGCCAGGGCCAGGCCACACTGGCCAAGGAGCTGCCGCCCACCAGGGCGACCTCAGACGCCATGCGGGAGGACTTGGCCACCTAATCACAGGCCCGGCCTTTCCAGTCCCATTCAAGTGTCAGCGAGGAGGCGGAACCCCCCCCTGCCCCGCACGCCCCATCAATCAGGCCCAGCTCCGTCTTGGGCGGGAGAGGATGCCATAAATAAGTTCTCCGTGAACATTTCCTGCCCCTGGGGCCACCTGCCCAGGCCCAGTCCCTGCTCCCTCGCTGCTGCGGTGCAATTCCAGGGCGTAAATCGAGGCCGCGGCCTCGGAGCTGGCAGGGGCAACAGGTCATGAGCAGGAAGGAGCAAATTACCCTCCAACCCACAGACAGAGCCTGGGAAGGCCGCGAGGTCGTCTAGGGAGGGGGTTCTTGGCATCGTGGGCGTGGGGGTGGGGCAAGCACAACCACAGAAATCCATGAACACAACAGGGCAGGAGCATGGGAGCAGGCCCCCCCGGCCCCAGGCTGTGATCCCCCGACCCAGAGCCCACCTCACCTCTGCAGGGTTCTGTGTCAAGTCTAAATGGGTCTGACTGGAACCTGCTTCCATGCCCCCACCCCCAATGCGGCCAGCTGAGCACAGGGGTCTCCCACAGGGGCAGGCCCCCAAGACCAGCCCACCCACTTCCCCTGAACGCACGCCCTAGCCCTCAGCCCCAGAGAGCCAGGCCATGCCGGTGCCATCAGTCCCCGCTGGGCAGGAAAAATGTCTCGGCGAGGGCCGGGTGCATGGTGGTGGCAGTGGGGCGGGGGAAGCAGCTGACGCATAAAAGACAATATTGAGGCAGGCGCAGGCTCGAGGGAACACCATTCTTTCGGGTGAGGGCTTGTACTTCGGGAACAAAGGACCCCCTCAAGAGCCCCTGTGCCCACAGCCAGCAGGCTGGCTTCCCAGCTGCCGGCGGGTCACGTGGGCAGCAGTGCCCACGGCAGCAGCCCCACTGAGCAGCCCAGGCACCGACCCGCGGCTGACCCCGGTGTCCTCCTCTTTCTGGAAGGGCGGGGGAGGGGGGGAGAGGGAGCCACATGTCCAGTCACCTAGAATGCAGCAGAGAATCCCAAGCACCGGGGTCCCTGCCCCTGGCAGCCTGATGGCCAGAAAGCACAGGTTCTGACAAGAGTCCTTTCTCAGCCAACCTGGCGCCCAGCCAGCCACTCAAGGGCCAGTGAGCACATGGACAACGTGCTCCGGAAGCTTGGCCTCAGGCTGCCTCTAGTGTCCTTTCCCCCCCGCCCATGGCCAGCAGGGACAGAGGATGGGAGGTGCGGCCAAGGCCACGAGTCAGCAGAAAGCAGGAGCCTGGAGGTAAGGGCTCAGCACTGACTCAGCGGCCAGGCGTCTGGGGCTTTAACCTGGCCCCGCAGCCCTTAGGGAAGTCACTCCACCTCTCTGAGCCTCAATCCCCTGGTCTGTAGAATGGAGATAAGGAGAAAGTCCACCTCGTTGAGGTTAGTCCCGGAGGGACTCCAGGAGCTAATTTATGTGCTGGGCTCAGAGCAGGGCAGGCACATACCAAGGATCGCTTGCTATTATACAGCCCATCAGCCAACTGGGGCAAACACCCCGCTCCTAGGTCCGGACGGGTGTGGGGTCTGGCCAAGGCCACGCAGGTCAGGCTCGGCAAAGCAGGACAGAGGCTGCCTACTGCCCCACCTGGGGCTTCGAGGGGCAGAGGTGAGGCGGTGTCAGAAGTCTGTGCACTGCTTAGGGTGGGGACCCCAATGCTACCCCTCCTCCTGCTGCTGCCTTCCCCAGGCCTTGGGGACAGCCAGGCCCAGCCTGGCATGCCGGCCTCGGGCAGAGGGCCAGTGCCATGACCCTGAGCGGGCAGCAGCGGCAGCTAAAGGCTGACACCCAGGACACCGGGGACCAGAGCTCTTGTCCTGCTGCCCACAGGGGACACCCAGGCTGTGTCCCCACACACGAGCGCTGATGGGGACAGTCCTGCTCAGCACCCACACTCAATGCACCACTTGGGGGGTTGTCTCCAGAGGCTACGTGGCATAAGATGGAGGCCTGTCTGTCTGGGGCCCTGGGCAGGGCCTCAAGTTCACCAGGTCCTGACAAGGAGCTCAGAGGAAGGGCACTACAAGGGCCGCTTGGCAGATGAGGTGGGTGAGGAGGGACCCTAGGGCTCCCTCACCCAGGGGACATCTCAGCAACCCTCAGAGGCCACACAGATCCTTGGGGCACCTCTCAGGAGAGCCCGGGAGAGGCCCAGCCGCAGAGCCACCACTTACCGTCCCTCCCTGTGCCCACTCCTCACGGCCTCAGGCATCGCCCAGAGGCCAGCCGCGTGCAAGCGGGGAAAGTAAAGCCAGGAGCTGTCTGAACGCTGGTGAAGGCCATACAGATGGCGCAAGGCCACACCGTTAAGCGGCACATCTGGGACTTGAACCCCGTTTCTTGGGCTCAGACACAGCATTCTAACCACTCATGACACCACCTGCCCAGTCTGAGACCTAACCGTGAAGTCTGACCGAAGGTGCAAACACACACCCCGAGCTAAAATACCTTTCACCATAGTAGCTCGCCTGATCGTTTCGCTTTCTGAGGTTTCGGTTCCCTCCGATCACTTGAGCTGAGGGTGGTCAGCGGCCACGCTGTGAGGATGCTCAAGCAGCCTGCAGAGAATCCGTGTTTCAGGGAGCCACGCCCTCCCGTCTATAGCTGTGTGAGGTGCCGTCCGGCAGCTGCTCCTCCAGCCCCCGTCAAGCCTCTGAAGGCACAAAAACCCGGGCAACAGCCCGATGACAGCCTCACTGTGGACTGAGCCAGAACCGCCAGCCGAGCTGCTCCCGGGCCCCTGGCTGTTCTTAAGTTTGGGATAGTTTGTTATGCGGCATCCGTGAGTGTCACTGCCTACTTGTCTCATCAAGGCCCACCCTCTCCATCTGTCCCTATCTCCCTTCTTTCCTGAAGCCCAAGAAGTTCAACCATCTGATCGTCTAACCATTATGCTGTATATCTGAAGCTAAAATAAGAGAATGTTGAATATCAGCTGTAATGGAAAAAGAGGTCCAACCATCTGCAAAGAATTACTATGCGCCTTTATCCAGAGTCCTCTCTGATGCCATCAATCACCCCTTCCTCCCCACTCTTAAAGATGTGGCCACCTCTTTAAATCCCAAATACCCTAAGACAAAGGAGTCTTTGTGCCCATTCTACCGATGGGGAAGGGCAGGCTTGGATTGAAGGGCTAACATGATCAGCAGCAGACCGGTTACTCAAACACAGCACCTACATCCCACTTACAGGGTCAGGGCCCAGATCCAGACCCATTCTGGGGCTGAGAGAAGGGCCGGCTCTGTCCTGCCCAGGAGCCCACCCTGCATGGACACTGCCACGACAGACAGGGAGGAGGAGCTGGGAGGCGAGGACGGGCAGTGTAACTGTTGCACCTCCCAATGACCAGTCCCAGAGGCCAGGGGAGCAGATGTGAGGTCACTGCCCAGTAGCCGTGTGACAGGCTGGCCAGCTGGCAACTCGGGTGAACATGCTGTGACTGCCAGCTGCCAGTGCTGGGCAGGATGGCACAGAGGTGCTAGATGGGCAGGTGGTGCCACAGAGCAAATCCCAGGCCAGACCCCAAAATGTCTCATGTCCCTTATGGCCAGTGGTGGGTATCTTCAGTTGGCAGCAAGAGGAGCAAATCTCTTTTTTATCCTTTTTAAACCCTCTCTGTTCTAGTATTTCTGCAGTGAACCTGGTTTTCAAAACACAGGGGCCCTCAAAGAGATGGAGACCTGCCTGCATGAAGTTGGCACAGCCAACAGGAGCGTGGGGGTGTCCCCGACTAGGGCCGCCAGCCAGCTAGGTGCAGAAGCCAAGGGAACTGGGGTGTCCCTGCTGGAACTGGAACCCAAACCCTCACCTACAGCCCCCCTCGACAGCCAGGTCTGCCTCTCCTTCCTCTCCTGGGTCAGCCACCACCTGAATGTCATCAAGTTCCCGCTGGCATCCGCACAGTGACACCCCT